TTTTATTTGTTATTATCTTTTTTAAAATTTTATATTTACTCTTTTTTTCAAATTTGTTTTCTATTTTTTTACATTATAATATTTTAATTTTTTTGTTAGTTTTTTGAGTTCTTTTTTTTTTGACAGTTTTGATATCGCTTGTTGCTTTATTTTCCTATTTTTAGCTTATACATTCTTGATTTTTATTAAAGCTTTTTAATACCCCTCGTTTGATACTTTTCCAGCTATATTTAGTTTTTTGTTATTCTTAAAATAGTTTTTTTTGTCTTTGCTATTTTTTTCTTTTTTTGAAATTTCATCATTTGTATATTGTTTTTTTATAGTTTTTATTTTTAAAGTTTAACTTATCAAATTGTGACGTTTACACATTAACGAAAAAAAATGAGGAAGTAAGAAATGAAATATAAGAAAAAACAAAACAAATAAGAAAAAAAAGGTAACAGTAAAAAAAATAGATGCTATACCTGAGGTTGTCTTATCTCAGTATCAAATTTATTTATTGAAATAAAAATAAAAAAAAGAAAAATAAAAAATAAGCAAAAAACAAAAAACATTTGGTTGTCACCTCAAATTCATTTATTAAAATAAAAAAATGAAAATAAAAAAAATAAAAAAAACATAATAAAGTTTAAGCGTGAATACTAGTCCTAGCTGTCTTATCTCAATATCGAATTTATTGATTAAAATGAAAATAAAAAAAAGAAATAAAAAAATTAAATGTAAACATTAAAAAAAAACTGAAAAAAAATTGATTGTTCTACCTAAATATCAAATTCAATCATTGAAATAAAAAAAAGAAAAGTATAAACATAAAAAAGATATTTTATTTCTTTTTTTGGACTTTTGTCATTTGTGTTGTTTTTTTAGAGTTTTCATTTTTACGTTTTAAAGTTTAACTTATGAAATTGGGACGTTTACACGTTAAGGAAAAAAAATGAGAAAGCAAGAAATGAAAAAATAAGAAAAAGCAAAACAAATAAGAAGAAAAAAAGTAACAGTAAAAAATAGATACTATACCTGAGGTTGTTGTCAAATTTACTTCACTTCAAATTCATTATAAATAAAAAAAATTGAAATAAAAAAATAAAAAAACAGTGAAAAGTTTCACCTTGAATTCTAGGCCTGGTTGTCTTACTTCAATATCAACTTTATTAATTAAAATAAAAAAAATAAAATATAATAAATAAAAACATTTAAAAGTTTAAGCTGGAATACTAGACCTGAGATTGCCTCACCTCAATATTAAATTTGTTTATTAAAATAAAAATAAAAAATAAGTTTTAGGTTATCTCACCTAAATATTAAATTCATTCATTCAAATAAAAAAAGAAAAAAAATATTAACAAAAAATAAATAAAAAATGAAACACTTGTCAAAGACATAAAAGGAAAAGATTAGTGTTATAAAAAGAATTAGTCATAGAGCAACAAACGACTACTTTAAGAAGAACAGAACTACCAGACAAACTAAAAAATTTTTAGTCATAACT